TTTAGATGGTTTACAAACCTGTTGACCTTAAATTCTTCTTATGCACCCTCTAACTGTTTTACTACTTTCAGGTCTACTGTCTAATTTTTCAAATCTACTACTCTTGTCAAAAATTCTGTAGGATTTGCCCTACTTGGAATCCATCTGGTACTGAAAATCCTAATGTTGTTTACTATAAAAACCTTCCTAATTCATTTTGTAATATTTCTTTGCCACTCTGTTGAGCCACCTTTTAACATCATTTTTAAAGCCACCCTGTTGTCTATAAACAAAATAATCCACAAACCCTTCAAGAGACCTCCAAAAGACTGCAACACTTACAGCACTGCTAATGTCTCTAGTTGTGTTATGACATTTAATCTATAAAGCTATAACCATCCTTTTGCTACTCTGTGCTTCTAAAAAACCCTACACTAACCAATTGTTAATACATCTACATATACTGATTTTACTTGAGAAGGCTTTCAGACCTGTTGAGCATTCCATTTCTTTAGATTTTTTACCAACCAACAGATATTTTCACTTGCCTATATTGACAACTGAGTCTCATTATTCCATTTTTATATTGCATAGTTTCTGACATTTATAAGTTTGTAAAACTTTATACACTTTACCTGGCCTAGACGAAAGACCCTTGATAGGCTTATTACCTTTCTTACTACTAATGCTAGGCTTCTCACTGTTACTGTTAACCTTTTCAATAATGTTTTTAACTTCCTTATAGCTGAAATGATTTTTTTCACTAGTGCAATTACAACTCCTCTTACTATATTTACAACCATTCTACAGAACCTCAATTTCTGTATTGAGTTCTAGTTTTCTTTTTTTTTTTGCCCAAATCCACCTACACCTATCCAGATCAATTTTCATGACCTTTTTTCATATTCTAATCAACATGTCCTGTCTTGGATGTGCCATCCAAATGTCATCTAAATAGCACTTATACTAAATTATTTGTGTCTATTACTTGCTGATCAACACTCTTATTATTTTGGAGAAAACCCAGAAAGCTTGGCTTAGACCAAATGACAGTACTTTGTAGTGATATCAACTTTTTTTTACTGCAAATCCTAGTAACCTTAGAGCCTTACTGTCCATCATAACATGATGGTATCCCTCCTTTAGGTTAAATGAAATTAATCTTTAGACTTGACTGATCATCTGTAACAAACCTTCTAAACCTTCAAACCAAAAGGTCTTTTGTGCCAATACTGATTCAATCTCTTTAAATCTATTACTAGATGAAACTTCTTGGAACCCTATTTTGGAACCAGAAAAACAGAACTTATCTTCAGTAGACTTGATAAATATGTGTTTCCCTTGTTTATTTTTATTATTGCATCTGAGTCTTCTAACCTTTTCAACTCATTTCCTAACCAAAGTCTTTTTTCTCTATAAAATGGTATAGTCTTGGGTCTGGTTCACTTACCAAACATATTAGATTTCTTGAGAACCAAAAGATCATCTTTTTTAACCATTCTATAATTAGCTTGAATGATTTTATCTTCTTCTTCCAAAAATTAATAACTTTTGACCTATAATTCTTTCCCATTATAGAAACCTCTGCCCCTATTTCTATTTCTTTTATTACCTTCTGAATGTAATCAACTTTCTTTTAGTCAGGTACTGTCATTTTAAAAAGGCAATCTAATATACTTTCTTAAACTATATTTATCTATGAAATAACCTTTACCTTCATATAAATAACAAATTAACTCACTTCTCCTAAAACACTTGCTTTTTTTGGATTTCTTAGACCACTGTATAACTGATCAAAATGATTATTGCTATGATAAGAGAACAACCTCTGCTATCTATTAAGGACCTCCAAAATGTGTGAACTGGTTATATGACTGAAGAATCTGCTAAAGAACTAATATGTAGTCTCCAAACTGATTTTGTAAACCTGCTGAGAGCTGTGGGTACATGCTTGAAGATTGAAGAAAGGGTTGAATTTGCACAGCTTGGATCATAAAAATGCCATTTATCTGAAACATTGATGTAAATAATTGATACTAGTTAAAATATAAATAATTGAATGTCTTCAACCTTTTAGTTTTCAAAAAATGCTGCATTGCCATTCTCATACTTTTATTTAACTCCTCAACAATTCTGTCATCAGGGCCAAACTATCAACCATTGTCATCTTTGATGCTATCTTCTAACTATTCTTATCAACCACTCTTATTAAATATGCCCTGTTTAAAGCCACCTACCTTGCTAAGTGTATGTAGGCCATATCTCTTGTAGCTAATGCCCTATCTATCAAGGCCTCTGCTTTGCACTATTCATTATATTCCCACTGGTTTCATTGCTTTCACAATTCCCATTTTGTCCCTACACTCTTTCATTCCATATCTTTTAAAAACAAAAGATCTAAATCTGCTTCATAAACTGACATCTTCTTCTCTCACATAAACTAGGTGGAAAACTGTGACCAGCCACACTGTATTTCTTGTAAATACTCATCAGCTTTCCTTCTTTCATCACTAACCAATACACTCTATCACCTGATCACTGAAAACCTTCTAGATCTTCTGACAATGTATCATCCTAACTACTTATATGCTGTAGTCGTACATCCTTTTCTTTTCTAGATGCTCCAACTTTATTTGCTGATACTTTCGAACTCATTTGGCTTCTCCCTTCCTTTAACAGTCTAAACACAATTTCTTGTTTCTGACCTGTTTTCAATAGGCCCATATTCTGACAAGCAAATCTCAATGCCTCCAGTGACAAATGACTATGCTTCAACTCCAGGTTTGTTTGTGCAATTTCTGGAAGCACAGGATCGCTTAACACCATCACAGTTTCTGAATCTCTTCTACTGGTTGTCATTAGAACTGTAATTAAATTTTTTTTTTTTCTTTACTTCTCTTTCATTCCAGGAAGTCAACTTATTGATACTATATTCAGAAACCTGAAATGAAGTGATTATCTATTTGTGCAAGATCATCAAGAGACCAAGAAAGCTTGTTCTACCTTCCATCTTAGAAAAACAAGATACCAAATACAACATAAAAGGAAAAGGTTTTATTTATATATACTAGAAAAAGTCATGTAGAAGTTTACATGAAAAACCAAAGTCGGGTTAGCAGAAAAAAACAGAAGTTATCATATTAATAAGAAAACCCGTCCCTTAAATATAACTCATCGACCACAAATCAGCAACATTACATAATTACGTCGTTACTATACTAAGCTCTAACGACTTAATTACATCAATACTATAATAGACTCTCATCAATTTCAAATCGAAATTACCACGTGGTTACATAACCCCATCATTAAACTCTAACAAATACTAATCGAAAATACTACGCAATTACGTAACCACTGCCTCATATGACCGTACTAAAAATCGTTCGATTATGGATTCACACTTCGTGATCGATTCGAGACAAAAATGCTGCTCCGATACTCTCGTATCAAGCAGCTAATGAACAATCAAATTAGATGCAATATTTTGTATAGAAGCAAGCATCGTTTCACTGCGCTCTTAGTATGTTATACAAATTATCTAACTTTAAACTATATTTTTGTATTGAGGCTTAAATACCTTTAAGATTAAACACAAAGTACGTGCTAACAGAATATTTCGGTACAAGATAAACAAATACACACGCACGTATTGTAAATTTTAGCGTGCGATTTAAAAACTCTTCCATTTTTAGGAAATTATTTCAATACACGTTTTCCGTAAAACTGTTTTACTGAACACTTCCAACTATGGTTACAATGTCTGACGTACCTTTTATAACAAAGTAACACAATACAAGAGTCTCCACATCATGTACGTATGTAACAATAATGCATAGATTGCAACACATGGATTGTACTATGGGTAAATTTACAATAAACATTTTAACCCATTTTTTCAATATCTTTTTTAATTATGGTTACAATGTCTGACGCAAAGATGACATTTAAAGTTTTCTCAGTATGCATTTACTTGCTAAAAATAGCGATAATTTCCCTCATAAGTACATACGTACGCATGTACATATGTACGTGCGTAATTCAACTTTACACAAACCTGGTAGTTAAAAAAATTCTGGTACGTAGTATGGTACGTATTAATTTAGCAATGCCAATTTTTTTTTTATAATACGGATATTATGTAAATGCACTATAAGTTGATTTAACAAACTTAGAAAAATTCATGAAAAACTTTAATTTTATAACTAACTTGCTATGTTGGTATATATCACTATAGTTGCACACACGCATATACGCATGTACTGCGATATTTATCTGACATTTGCATTATTAAAAAGTTTAAAAAGTGATCCGGATAAATTATACGCACAAATTGCGTAGAATGAATATGTTGATTAACTGTTAATCATAATAAAATTCCATCATAGTGTTATAATATTTATTATTATTATTATTATTAGTATTATTATACCGTAAATATTCGAAAATTAATATCACCAGTTTTGATTAATTACAGCCTTTTTTTTATAAACATTGAATTTAAAAATGCCTTAAATTGTCCAAATTAATAAATTTATTTTTAGACGATTTGATGATGCCACTATTTCATTATGCTCGAAAATCATAAAATCAATTTACAAAACAAGCATAATCTTTAAAGACATTGTTACCGCTATTGAAAACACAAGTATTAAAAATTACTAAAAAAACAGATCTGTGTTATTTGCCAAGACTAAACTAAAAAGAAAACAAATCTTCCAAACTAAAAAAAGAATCGGAGTTAGTCTCCAGACCTTCTTCATTAACGAAAAAGGCTAAAATGAATAAATATTGTTAAATCGCGTAACTGTAAAATCAATTCAGAAAAAAGATTCAGAAGTGAATGATGAAAATCTCCTGATCATAACTGATGATATGAATTCAAAACTTATAAAAAGCCTTCTTATTCTTCTCATGCTCTTCATTCCTTCGAAGTTTCATTCTTATATACAAACTTCTAAAGAATCTATTAAGTTTAAGTTTACGAATTTTTCAATCAAGATCACGTTTAATAAGCCATAATGAAATTCAACAAGAGTTTTTATTTCTTGGTTCTTGTAATCTGTCTCATCTTTGCAGCAAGCACTCATGCAGCTCCAGTACCTGGGGACAAAGATGATAAAAAAGAATCCATTACAATTGGAAAAATTACGGCTAAAGAAGATGAGAAAAAAGAAACATTTACCATTACTGTAGCATTTAGTGTATGTTATCTTTTTTACAGATTAAGTTACTTATTTCTTGTATATACGCTTGATTAATGAAATTTTAACGAAATCTTCTATTTTTGATTTAGACTAAAAATGCTCCAAAAGAAGGTATGTTATACATATTTGATTTATTGTGTATTTTTTTAAAAAAAAAATTAATATTAATATTTTTATCTTTTTTATTAGATAAACTCAACGCTAAACTTGAAGCCTGCTCAGATGGTGGTAAAGTCAAGGATCCTTCAAAGAAGGTAATTTTCTTTATTTTTGATAAATGATTATATATACACATATACATGTATATATATATATCTGTATATACATATATACATATATATATATGTATATAATTTTTCTTAATTATTAAATTGGTTATATATATATATAAATCAATAGATTGTTGATGCAGATGACAAGAAAGTAACATTCAAAGTTACTGTCAAAGATGGAAAATCTGCCAAGTTCAAGGTTACATTGGAGGACGAAGATGAAGAAATCACTGCCACGAAAACCTTTACTGTTAAAGAAGGTAAAGAAGATTGCGATGAAGATAAAGATTAAAATCTAACTCATGAAAATTCTTAATATATTCATAATTTATATAGTTAGGTTTTTGTTTAAATTTTATTAGTTTAAGTTAATAATTTCGTATGCATTATAGCTCTTGTATCGATCAATTTTTTTTATTAATTAATTAATAAAGGCCTTTATAATTAATTTATAATAATATAAATTATTATGAAAAACTTGTCATACAATGTATATATCTAATGTAGTAAATCCCTTTATTAATTTGTGAATAATTTTTAACGTTAAGCGATTGGTTAGTACAAGGAACGGAGTTTGTACAACGTACAACGTAGTGTATACTAGTGTATGCGTTACAATTCTCAGCATATGATTGGGTAACCTGTCATCACGACTTTGTGTAGCACCCCAAACAATACTTTAAAAGGTAGGTACCAGGAACAAATGCCCCTGCACGCAAAATCATGGAATTGATTGGTCTGCGTGACTTATTCATCATTCAATATTTTTTAAATGAGCGCATACATCTGTAAAATCGAAGATGCTATAGCAAAGGATAGTAAAAATAAGTTTTTTAGGCGCAAAAATTAGTATCCCAATATAAATTTAAAGGTCTCAATGCTAAATATTTAGTAATATTCATTTTTTTTCATTTAATTTTTTATCGGGCTGATAAAATGATAATCACTGATCATCAAAGACTTAATCGAAAAGTCTCACTCGCGTATGATCGTCAGAACTTGGATGCACTCCAGCCCACGTAAGGCTGGATATTAAACTTTATTACATTGCTTTACAAAGAGATATATGGCATACATCAGTGCAATTTATGTATAATTAAGCTAGCGACTTATAGCATCAGCCGGTGGTTTCCCACCTGCACAAAGCAGGCCGACTGATAATCAAAATTTTGCAAACAGATTAGCGACGCATCAAATTAGCCGGTGGTTTCCCACCTGCATACTGCAGGCCGGCTGTGTATATGAAGGATTTGCAAAGAAAAAATGGAAGGATCGGGTCGGGTGGGCCGGGTGCGAATGTTCTGCTTTCCCGGTTGTTGTTTGGCCACTTGCTGATGTTCGACCTTTTGTCTTGCTTCTTGATATCTTGGTTCTTGTCTTGTTATTTATTGAGTTGTCTATCTGCACTCCTTATGTATGCTATTCTCATTTGGGGGGTTGCATGTACTGGATTTGCTTGTTGGCGCCAAGTTCTGCATGTGATTGCAGGTGCCAGTGCGTCATTGCATCGATTGCCTTTTCGATCTGTTGACCTTTTTGTCAACTCGAACGAAAGAACTTGTTGATCATTTCTAAATACAGGTATTTTTGCAGAGCCTCGGAATTTTGGGCCAGGTTCATCAGACCTGAGTGATACTAGTTAACCAACTATATAGCAGTCAGACATTGGCTTTATTAATAATCTCAGAGGTAGAGATGGGACACTGCACTGTCTACAATGCAATTTTTATAATTCTGATCAGCTTTATAATTTAGGTTTGAATTACTAATCAGAAATCAGTTCGGATTGGTCTGAAAGAAAAATGAATTTGCATTATCTGATTAATAGAATCCATCATTCATAATTCTGGTCAAACATGCAGATCATTTGATCACATTTAAAGTTGTTTTGTTCTAGATCTGGTCAAATGATCTGAAATTTTGACCAGAATTATCAATTTACTGATATGCAGAAAAAAAATGAAAAAAAATGCAAAATAGCAAAAATAATATTTAAATTAAACTTGGAGCATTAATTAAAAATAATGAGAGTCAACTTTACATATATGAAGTAGATGTTTTATATATATAAATATAAAAAAGAATGTGGCAACTTAGTGAAGTGGTCAAGTTGTTGCATTTCAAGTGATAAGGTTCAAGGTTCAATTCCTACTAGTGACAAATAGGAGAACCTACAGCAAAAGGTGGCTTCAGGAAATCATGTAATTTTGAGAAAATCATATCCAAAATTGGTATATAACTATTACATATATAATATTATTAAAATAATTAATTCAAATTATACATTTTTTTATTAATAT